GTGTTATGCAATTTTTCATTTTATCTCCTGTAGAGACATACTACAATTCAGAGAGGTAAAGAATTACCTCAGCTCCAACAGTGCCAAAACTGTTGCAGCCTTTATCATTGCCCTTTCTGCAGGACATTTAAGCCAACCAGACTGGACAAATTAACATTGCATCTGCAGAGCCATTCCAGCAAGGCAGTTGTCTATGATGGGGCACTTGCATAAAAAAAACAAAAAATAATAATATTTGTAACAACATGGCGGAGAGCAGGGTGAGTAAAGTTTGTCATTTTGTGATGAAAAATTCGTTCAAAAGTTAAATGTTTATGTTATAAATACTGTTTATATGCATGCCTTTCACGTTTTATTTCTGAAGCTTTGAATTGTTGTCATCCTTTACCATTTTCGGGACTTTTCTGCGGACAGTTTGATTATGTTTTAGGTTGTTTGTTGTAAATGGGCTTTGCGATAAAGCCACTTTATGGTTTGAATTTATTACTTTTTGATATATTTAATGCTTTCTTACAATTCTATTAGTTTCATTGTTTGTTGGTTTATTTTATGCTATTCTAGAGCATTGTAAGTTTATTAATGACTTTTTCAAATAACAGAGAACGTGTGTTATGCAATTTTTCATTTTATCTCCTGTAGAGACATACTACAATTCAGAGAGGTAAAGAATTACCTCAGCTCCAACAGTGCCAAAACTGTTACAGCCTTTATCATTGCCCTTTCTGCAGGACATTTAAGCCAACCAGACTGGACAAATTAAAATTGCATCTGCAGAGCCATTCCAGCAAGGCAGTTGTCTGGGTATGGGTATCTTGAGTTGTTTTATTAATATGTGTTGTAGTATAGTTAAGTACTTTATTAATGTAATGATTTATTTGTTTTAGACTTCACTATACACCGATGTGGGCTGGGCTGTAGACCTGCACTTCATTATCACTGTCCATACTGTGGAACTACAGCTTTAAAGAGAAGGGATTTTGAACACCATTTACAAATTTGCAAAAATAAATCGCTTCCCATTTCAGACAAAACAGATGTTCAGGAAACCCCATCACCAGCAAGTGTAACGGTGACCACACCAGCAGTGAAAAAAGGCCCGTTACCAACATATGAAACAGTGACCACACCGGCAATCTTACCAACTACTATTGTTTCCTCAGGCAGGGTCCGTGTACAGACTGTCATTAAAAGAAGATGCCCTATTTGCAGTGTCCTCATGAATAGAAAAAACTTTCAAAAACACATTGACCGGAAACACACCGAACAACCAATGCAGGATATTAGTGCTGCGTTTCATCTTACAAGCCGATGTGTTGATAAGACCAATGGTATATTTACCGTTCTTAAAGCTACTAAAGGACAGAGTGTTCCACTTCATGTTCAATACAAGACATGGGGAGAAGAACATAAGGTCCTCTGTGAAGTAAACGAATGTCAAGTCAACATGGAAGTTGCACGGAGAAGTGGGCTCTTCTCTTACCAATGCAAGCACATAAAATCTGTAATGTACTGCACATCCTCTGCAGAACCTGTCACTTTGAAAGAGGAGGTTTTAACAGAAATGGTAAAAGCAAAGTGGTTCGGTAGCGAAAAGAAAAAAATCTGCCTTACTCGGCAGCAACTTGCTGACAGTCACTGTATGCCACTCTCTGTTCAAACTTCAATTGGCATCCCACAAACCAAAAAATTCATTTCCGTATTTGAACCCAGTGAAAGTGAAAAAGTGAAAGTGACGTGACATGTGGCCAAGTATGGTAACCCATACTCGGAATTTGTGCTCTGCATTTATCCCATCCAAAGTGCACACACACAGCAGTGAACACACACACCGTGAACACACACCCGGAGCAGTGGGCAGCCATTTTTTTGCTGCGGCGCCCGGGGAGCAGTTGGGGGTTCGGTGCCTTGCTCAGGTGGCCAGCCAAATTTCAGGGGGGGCCGGTGCCACCCCTGGCCACCGCGTAGACACGCCCCTGGGTACTGCATGCCTATTTACATTTTGAAGCCCTCACAGAACAGGAGTACACGTATTCATGTGTCACCTGTGGTGATTACCCCCCTGTTGTGATAATGGATTTACACAAGAAGGGTGTTTTCCAGTTTTCTGGTATGTGTATTGTAAACAGTTTTACTTTCAAGTTACTTTTTAAATGTTCTTTTGAGGTGTCGTTATTGTCATTGTGGAATATGCTTTTTTTATAGTAAGTGACGTAGAAGAACCTCCAGAGAGCTTTCAAGGGGAGGTGAATCTAGAAACGTTCTGGGAGGCTTTGTCCAAAGAGATGATATGCCGTGGATTTGTTACAAGTATGTGCAAACTTACAGTGTTTAATACACTATGTTGCAAAGAAAGCAAAGTAATGCAACACCTGTTTTTAATGCTGCTGTTTTAGGTGGTGCACATAATCCATTTGCAGTTCCACCTACTTATCACTTCTGGGCTCCTTGGATTGGCAAGAACACACGTCGTTCGGACACTGTGCTAAACACAGAGTTTGAAAAACGTCATGCTTCAAAGTTTTCATCAGAGATCTCAGAAATTACAGTTACCAAGGAGAGGCTCAAGGAAGAACTTCGCAAACAAAAGGTTGGTTAATTGAACCTTTATTTGGTTAAAT